TATATATATATATATATATATATATATATATTTATATATATATATATATATATATATATATATTTGAAAGTTTAAATATTTAATCATATAAAAATAGAATAAGAATGTCTACAGTTAAGTATATGTCTAATCATTGGTACTTTTACCATATTATTGATTTTTAATTTTCATGAAAAGTAAAGATAAATGTACCAATGCCTGGACATTTATAACAGCGGTACATAATTGTGAACATTCTTATTGTTTTGCTTGTAAAATATGAATATTAAAACTTTCAACATAGAATATATATAGTTTATATATTGAAATTTTAAATATTCGTATTTAAAAAAAAAGACAAAACAATCATAATTGTCAATGTTATGGGCATCCAAGTATTGGTACGTTTACTGCTTAGTAATAAATAATTTTTCAACCCTTATATATTAGGCACACACGTACATACACAATATATGCAACATGTACAATATATATATAATAATGACATTATTATTATTACAGAGAACTGCAAGAATTATTGGGCCATAAGCATAATATCCAGCCTTTAGCGGTTTGTGGAAGACAAGGTCTAATTGTGAGAAAAGATGCAAGTACATCTGAACAGTAAGTTGAAATGGAAATGTATTTACAATTTTACTATATCTCTCTCGAAAGTAAAGTGAAGTCATTGAATATATATATTTCATTCTTTAAGATAGCAGTGCGTCCTGATTTTCCTTCAGGAGCAAAACTAAAATTGATATTTAACTTTGTAACAGACTGTGTTTTTTTCCAGATTGACTTGTGAAATGGCAGAAGAAAATGTTGCACCAAATGCTCAAAATATTGATGTAACATCCAATCTAAATGTGGAAGATGAAGAAAATATAATTCCTCCAACTGCAAGTACAAGTATATCAACTGAAGTTAATACTGTAAATCCCAATCATGTAAGTACATAGTGACATATATTCTTTATACGTTATAATCAGTATTGGTCAACATTTGAATTTTATAGGTATTATTGAACAGTAATAGAAAAAATAAGGTAAACACAACATCACAACTTCTACAAACATATATTACAACAATGGACAATTTGACCAAAGAAATCCGAGAAGAGAAACAGGCACGACTAGATTTAAGAAATGAGATTGTAACAGAGCAAAAAAATATCAGAATTATATTAGAAAACCATACCCAAAACATCGAAAAATATTTAACAAATTTATTATATTATAAAAAAGAAAAACTCGCACTTCTCAGGGATATTACTGATGCTAGTTAAATAATGAGTGCTTTTCATTCAGCGACGCAAGTTGATACAAGTATTTTATCTTTTTTTTTGTTTTGTGTATATACTAGTATTTCTGTTTTTGTTTATAATATATATAAGAGTAATATATATAAAAGTTACTTGTTTTTTACTTTGTTAACAGCGTATAGAGAAATAAATAATTTACATTTATAAAATATTTGTTGTGTATTTATATACCCAGTAAGCAAATTGAGCGCAGACTGCGCGCAAATTGGCAACAAATTTAATCAAAAATTTACACCAAAACTATAGCCATCTGTGTCCTCATTCAGCTACGGTTTTGGCGACAGAGCTTGCTGTCGGGCAATTGCTGCAGATTTGCAGCAAAAACCGCGCAGAGTCTGCAGCGCAGCAGACTCTGCGCGGTTTCTGCCGCCAATCTGCTGTCAGATTGCTACAAACTCTGCACGGTTTTTGCTGCAAATCTGCAGCAATTATCCGACAACAGAATCTGTCACATATCTGGTGACAGTTTGGCAGCAAGATTTGCTATAACAGATCTTGCATCAAATTTGTTATCTATTTGCCATAAAAAATTGGTAGCAAACTCTGCTCGAAATTTGTTTGCGCAGGTTTGGCTATCTGGGATACTGTCCTTCCACCTCTTATTAATAGAATGTCCGAGCTGCCTCTGTTTGTTACTTACTTAACGTTTACAAACAATTGCTTCCCATTTTTGTCGTAAGTTTAAAAAAAAAGAAAGATTGTGTTCTGTAACAGTGTGCTTTATTTGAAAGTAAAACATAACAATAAATTTAATAATATAATTATAAATTATTTAAATTAAACAGCCGGTGCACAATGTTTGTAAGGTTGTAAAAAAATTGACCAATCATAGCAGATTATTCTTGTAATAAAATGTTTTTTACTTTTTAATGTTTATATTATATATAACAATTTTATTGATATATAAAATATATAAAAAATATATAATATATTTATAATATAATATTATATACTTATATATTATATATTATATAATATATAATATATAATATATAAATAATATAATATATTATATATACAGGGTGTTCGGAAAGTACCGGGACGCCCGAATATCAGGAAAAATATAAGTTTTACAAAAAAATGTTTCAGACAAAAGTTGTGGCGTTTAAAAATATGTATTTACTGATCACATCAGTTTGACCTTGGGTTGCGTAGCGAAAGTCAGGTCAAGGTCACATTAATTTTTTTAAATGGAACACCCCATTTTTCATTGCATATTCTTATAGCACATCTCGAGAGCTTTCCAAAACGC